GCCTCCGCCTCCACCACTCCGCCCTTCCCGCCTCGTGCCCTCCTGTTCCCCAAGCATGTCGCGCTCGCGACGCCCTACGCCATCCGCCCTCGTCCTCAGCCCTCGCCTTGCCGCCCGATCCAGCCCTCGCACTATCACTCCCGCATACACCGGCCCCTCCCCGCCCTCCGCCTCCGCCCTCGCCTCGGCCCCTCGCCTCCGCCCTCGCCCTCCGCCCTCGTCCCTCTGAGACCCCTGCCACCGCCCTCGCCTCCGCGCCTCGCGACCTGCCGCCCTCGCCCGTCGCCGCCTCGCCTCCGCCCCGCGCCTCACCCGCCCTCGGCCCTCCGCTCACCGCCTCACGCCCCTCGCCTCCGCCCTCGCACTGATCACCTGGCTCCATCTCGCGCCCCGCCCCTCGCCTCCGCCCTCGCCTCCCGCCCTCTGCCTCCGCCCTCGGCCTCCAGCCCTCGCCTCCACCCCTCGCCTCCGCCCTCTTAGCCTCCGCCCCTCGCCTCCGCCTCGCCTTCCAGCCCTCGCCTGCCGCCCTCGCCCTCCGCCCTCGCCTCCGCCCTCGCCTTCCGCCCTCGCCCTCGCCCTCGCCTCCGCCTCGGCCTCGCCCTTCGCCTCGCCCTCGCCTCCGCCTCGCGCCTCCGCCCTCTGCCTCCGCCCCGCCTCCGCTCTCGCCCCCGCTCTCCCCCCTGCTCTCGCCCCCGCCACCGCTTCCCGCCCTCGCCTTCCCGCACCTTCACCTCCACACCTGCCGCTCGCCCGCCGCCACCGCTTGCTTCTGCTGACGCATCTGCCCAAACCTAGTGTTAGCCGTTGTTGACACCCACAAAAACTAATGCTTCTCCCGTGCCAATAAACGCTTCAAACGTCATCACCCACTACTGTTGTTAGAAAACCTTTCCACTCGTAATTCCTCCAGAAAAGTTAGTAAAAACCATATTTAAATATAACAGACTTTGGTCTGTTCTTAAGGAGTGGTTTTTGCGTTCAAAGAGAGAGAGAGAGAGAAGAGAAGATGCTAAATGAAGTGAATGGTGTGTGGACCTCTGAAAAGCAATACATTTATGTGAACGATTTTAAAACAGCCCTCAGCAGTTTGAACGTATTTGTAATTGGACTATAATGATATTGTGAGAGAAAGGTAAGATTCAAAACTACCGTGACATTGATTGGAATGCTTCTGAAGATTATGTACATACTAGCATTACCAATTGCTCCTAGTGTGCATGATGCACGAATTCCTTAATATTCAACCTGGAAAAAATAAATATTTTCGCGCCTGCCTTTAGGGTAGAATACATTTTGCAGTAAGGTTGATAGTCAAAGTGTCACTCGCGTACCTATCTACTCCCCACTACCGCAAGCATAGTCGTCATCACCGTCATAGTTATTGGCACCGAACGGGGGTCGAACCAAAACGCATTAGCCGATTGGCGAAGTTCAAAACGTCTCGTATTTTAGTAGTCGACGACATCCCCCGTCGTCGTGGTCCGTTGTCGTCACCACACGCGCTGTCGTGATCAGTGTCCCAGCACTCCGAGCCCGTAAACGGCAGCGCAGCGCAGCGCCAGAGCAAGCAGAGCAGCGCCGGGTGCGCAAGTAGAAGAGCGACGTCCATCGAGCGTTGGCCGCCCCCGCACATCCGTCACGATTCTACGCCTGCCCCGGTGCGCATGCGAAGGCAGCGCGCGGGCAGCCGCGGCGTCCCAAAGCGCGCGATCCACCGCCCACCCTGCGCGAAATGGCTCCGGGGGCGAAGGGGAAACGTGCGGCCAGCTGTGGACGCCGCCCACCCCCCGCCACCACTGCCCTGTCCAACGCCTCGCTCTTACCGCCTCCGCCCTCCCCACACACTGTCCCCGCTCCCTCGTCCACCCCTGCCGCCGCCTTCTTCCTTGCCCCCCGACCCCGCGCCGCCTCCCGTCGCCGCCCCCGCTTCGCCAACAGCCCTCGCCGCCCCCGTTCTTAACACCCTCCGCCCTCGCCTCACCCGTCCTCGCCCCGCCTCCGCCCTGCTGCCGCCTCAGCCGTCGCCCCTGTCAATGC